CTTCCATTCTTCCCTCTCCACAGCCACAAAAAACTGCTTGATTCCTTCAAGGGTCAATTCATCACTTTAGGAAAGAAGAACAGCTTTAAGACACTGCAAGTGGGTGAGTGCATACAATGCAGCTAAAAGGGCTGGATGCTCACATAGCTGTCTCAAGTGCTCTGGATTGCTGGGTCTCAAGTTACTCTATGAAGTCCCTGGAGAAGACTGCTCTAAGAAAGGCTTCAGGCATGACCCACACAGCAGAGCCTCAAACTTAGCACCCTCTCTGCTCTAGGCAGACAACTTCGAAGGGAAACATTTCTGTTCTCACTCTTGCAAACATCTTGGCAAGAACAGAGTGTAGTGAGGTGACTGGGGCAATGTAAGAGACCAGGCAGGGGTGAGGCCTTTCCAGTCAGGCTGCCTACGCTTACTTCTTTGACACCTGATGAGATGCAGCACGTAAGGACCTGTTGCAATGCTAGACATAAGCTGTGTACCTAGGGCCTTCAGGATCAATCAGCGTTAAGCTTTCCAGCCATACTCTATGGTATCAGTGGAAGGCACCTACAAAAGCCTAATGGAGGAGCACAGGAATTGGGTAGGAATGAAAGACAGATTTCCAGAAGAGATTGTACTTGGGAGGATGAGGGAAGTCGGGCTGAGCAGCAGCAAACAGAAATGGAGAAGGATAAAGCCAAAGAACCAATCTGGCCTTTCTCAAAGTGCAACATGAGGATGTCTGTAAATACCTACTCCAACTGCAACGCTGAGAAGGAACGTGATGAAGACAAGAATTGCTCTTCCCAGAAAAACTCACCGTTTCACCAAGATGCGAATGGGGTCTGTCATGAATTTGTTGGTCATCTCCAGAATTTCATGAGGCAAAGTGGCACTGATCAGCACCACCTGTGTAGCTGGAGGTAGATATCTGTACACATCATAAATCTGCTCCTTGAAACCTGCAAAAGGAAATCAAGTAGCATTGGGAAGTTAGCACATCTTTCTCCTGAATATCCTTTTATTTCAGTTTAGAATTAGATTACTTCAGCTTTGGGCCTATGCTCTAAGAATAACACTGAGTGTTTTTACTATACAGCCAGTGTCACCCCTCATTTATCTCCCCCCAGTTCTGCCAGACTTACCGTGACATGGCTGTGTTGCACAGTACAAAAAGCAACACTCCAGAATTTATAACTACTGAAAAGAACATGATTACTGAATTAGGCAAATTGTATTAAATTGCTTCCTACAGCCCGTAATGTAACTGTGCTTGCCTAGCTTTGGTTAAACAGCTGTTTTAAGAAGCAGTGCTACTAACTGGGATGATATCAGAATCTCAAAGAGGTGAGCAAAGAGAAGTAGAAGGGAGATAAATATTTCACCTTTGTTGAGCATTTCATCTGCTTCATCCAAAACCAGCATTTTGATAGCACGAGTCCTTAAACTTCGTCGCCGGATCATATCTGTAAGATTTCACTTTGTAAGATGAAAAGGCTCAGAAAGCAAGCGAGCCTACATTGCTCCCAGCTGCTGTCAGTGCATTTCACTGGAGGAGGGACTGGCACTTCCCCTGCTGCCAACAGAGACTGGTGTTTGGTGATGGAAAAGCACACTCAAGTGCCACAGTGTTCCCCAATATCCTGCAAGCAGGGGCTTGCTTCTGCTGCCCAGATAAGGAAGCACATAAGGAAGCACAGGCCACAGGGAAGCTGAGTCCGAGCTGTGGGATATTATTTGCTAACTGCATGCAAGTGCATCATCTCACATAGAACTGCAGCTGGATGCCAGCAATGCAATGTGCCACCTCAATTTCGTGTCCAGTGGGCAAATCTACCTCCTGTTTGAAGGAGCACATGGCTCTGTGTAATTCCTTCATCCTGTGACAGAACTATTTGCTCTAAGAGTTGTTCAGAGCCACCCAGTTTGGCAGCTATGAAGTTGGTTTGTGGTTGTTGCTGTTAGTTATTTTTGTCTATGGAGACTAGTGTTCTCCCAGTAGTATGTATTCATATAACAAAGTACTACACTGTTTCATAAATCCGTAACTTATGGGCTTGAAGGCTGATTCTCCGCCTGTACCAACTGTCAGGAACAGTAAATATGAAAATTTTCATGATGTGAAACTAGATAATAAAGTTGCACGATTTGACAAAGAGCTAATGAGGATCAGTACAGTGAACATATGGGCCTAATATTTATCCCTACATGGGAGAGAGATGGATTTGAAGACTGTTTAGTCGACTATAAGGAAGCGGACACAGAAGAGGAGGCTCCAGGGAAGCCTCACTGCAGCCTTGCAGTACTGTAAGGGAGCTTATATGCAGGAAAGAGACAGACTTTTTACACAGGCATTCTATGTCTCCTGTTTTGACACTCAAACAGACCCAGCCCCTATCTCTTCCATGACACTGAGATAATCCCAGGATTGCAATATTACCACCATTAAAAATATTGTTTTCTATGCTACAATGTAAAGAACCACTTTGTTATGAAAAGCAAAGCATAAACAGAAAATTCTAATTCTTTCCCCAGTGTTTTCTTTCTCATCTCTTCCAGGTGCTACTACAGTAAGTTTATACTTTGTTGCTCTTCATCGCTGCATACATTAATGATAAATGTAGTTTCCATGCTATTTCAAATCTAAATGCATTAAATTTGTGGGTTGGTCCCACGGTTCAATTGAAGCAAGAACACAGAAGCATGCAGCCTCCCTGATCTTACCAAACACCCGGCCTGGAGTGCCAGCAACAACATGCTGCCCGTAATCCAGCTTTCGGATATCTTCACCCACGTTGGTCCCCCCGATGCAGGCGTGACACTGGACATTCATGTAGTCTCCCAGAGCAAGAAGGCCCTATTTTGACATAAATAATAGATCAATCATCTGAGGTCTTATGAAATTTGTCATTTATCAAGTCATGTTGGGCTGAACAGCCACGTGGTGCTTTTCTAGAGATAAAAGCATAAAGATTTTTTCTGTTGTTCTCCAAACCTCCTCAATGGCAGGCTTACAAAGGCTGGGGATCTGGTTACTTCCCAGGGATCACAACTACTTTTAAAGAGTTCTGTACTTAGAAATTCAGATAGGAATATGTAAAACATTAGACTGCTAACTAACCCGTCATGTAAGGAAGAATGGATATAACACAGATGGGAAAAACAGCCCTTCATTAGGATTTCTTATTCCATTCAGGAAAACGCATTCTCTTGAAAAGCAGAAGTTGCACTTCGAGCTCTGCCAGAGAACGCTTTGAGAATCTGCACCAGTCCTTATAAATGCTTTACAGGCAATGATTTAGGTGTTCCTACCTTTTGAATCTGCACAGCCAGCTCTCGAGTTGGTGCTAAGATCAATGCCTGGGTCTCACGAACCTGTTGACCACATGGCAGTCAATCACATAGCAAGTACAGTGCAAACAGTAACAAACAGAATAGAGCCCACAGCACCCTGAACTGTCACACTTGAAGAATCAATTGTACAATTTTGTGCTAAAACGTATGGGTTTGCAAGCATTGGTACACCTAGAAAGCTGCACCTCCATGGACTGCTTCCATGTTTATAGCCCTTACGTTAAGTTACAAGACTGTGCTTGAGCAGCTCTTCACTGGACAGCTTGTTTTATTCATCCAATTGCTGAGAACAGCTGATCTTCTTGTTCAGAACACTATGCCTGTCAAACGCTCGTCAGTCAGAAGCCTGTGTCTGACCACACAATTCGTGCCAGCTGTTCAGATGGATCCAAGAGACTCCAAGAGCACAATTCTGACTGGTGAGAAATCAATTCAGCCCTCCAATGAAAGCAATCACAGAAACATATTTTGGGTTGTGTTGGAAGGGACCTTCAAGTCCACCTCGTTCCAACCCCCTGCTAAAGGCAGGGACACCTCCCTCTACACCAGGCTGCTCACAGCCCCGTGCAGCCTGGCCATGAAAGCCTGCAGGGAGGAGCATCCACAGCCTCTGGGCAGCCTGTGCCAGCGTCTCACCACCCTCACAGTAAAGACAACGGACATTTTCCCCGCGTGGACTACCTGTATGTCCAGACACTGTAGCACAGAGATGGAGAACGTCGCTGTTTTCCCCGTTCCCGACTGTGACCTGAGAACAGAGGTGCGGTGAAGGCTCCGGCGTTCCGGAGGAGCCACCCATCCCGCAGCCCGCCCCCCTGCCCACGTACTGCGCGATCACGTCGCGGCCCTTGATGATCTGCTTGATGGCTCTCTGCTGGATGGCCGACGGCTTCTCGAACCCTGTGGGGACACGGCCGTTACGGCGCGCCGCCGCGCATGCGCGCCGCCCCTCGCCGCCGCCATTTCCTTCACCCCCGCTCCCTCCCCCTCCAGCCGCCGCCCCGCCGCGCACCGTAGGCGTAAATGCCGCGCAGCAGGTCCTCCCGCAGCCCCATGGTGTCGAAAGTGGGCGTCACGTCCACCTCTTCGCTCGTCTCGAACTCCACCTTCGTCATGTCTTCCTCCTTCATGATCCGCTTCCTCGCCGAGCCGGTGGTGCCGCCGGAGCCCGCGGACCCCGACATGGCTCAGTCAGGCCTTCCCACCGCCCTACCCGCACGCGACGACGATGGCGCGGCCGCCACACACCCAGAGCACAGGCCGCTGCGCATGCGCGGGAATCCCGACGGAAGCGGTGGGTGCATGCATGGTGGGCGGGCGGAAGAGCCGGGGAGAGGCGTGCGCATGCACGTCGGGGTGGTTGAGAGCGTCGCGCATGCGCGACGGCAGAGCGGGTAGAGATGGGAGGCGTGCGCATGCGCGGCAGGAGAGTGGCGTAGTGAGCTGTGCGCATGCGCCGTGGGGCGGTAAGTCGGGTATTTTCTGTCTTTTCTCTTTTTAGCAGCGGTTTGGTGCTGTTCTCTCTGCGTTAGAATCTGCGGGAACAGCTTGAAGCTGCCTCGAAAAAACCAGGAGGGGAGCTATTTTAAAACCCTGATCGGCTGCTCTCAGCTGTGTTCCTGCGGCTGGTGAGCTCCTGTCATCCTCCTTTAGGAGCCCAAAGATGCATTCACTAAATCAAACGAGGCTGGGCGCTGCAGGGTGAGCTCTGAGGAGCTGCAAATTGGTTTGCTCAGCCACACGACCTTCTTTTTCCTGAGTACACTGAGATCCCTAAAGCAACTGAGGCTGTTAGCACATCGTGTGGTGAGCTGAAAGGCAGAAAAAGATCCTGATTCGTGGCCTTGATCTGCAGCTTCTCAGAGGTGACCTCCATTAGCTTTGATTAAGGAGCTGTAAGTCATTGCCATACATAGTTCATTTCTGTCTGATGTTTCTGCAGTGTTCTGAAGGGAATCCAGACACAAGTCCAGCCATCACATCTCTGTTTCCCCTCACCCAAACATAAAACAAAATTGCTAAAGAATGGGTTCTACTGAGGATAATTCAGATGAAGATGCTGTTTTTCACAGGGGGCTGATTTAATAGACGTCACTTGGTGTGGTGAATTGGAGAGAGTTCTCTGCTTGTTCCTTGTAGAGATGGTCTGGGCCCTTGTGTAGCGTCTGAATGACCCTCTTGGGAGCCACTTGAGTAGAAGTGGGAGCAAATCCTGTGCAGGTGGGGTGAGACAATAGTGCAGAAGGAAAGAGAGCTGTTCAGTCTTGTCTCTTTACTGGGGGACAAAATAAAAGGGAAAAAATCACCCCAATTCTAATATTGGCTTCAGAAACACGTTACTGCACATCTTAACTGAGGTTGTCACACTCTTTAGTTCATCTGTGTTTTCCTCGTTTGGTGTAATGATTTCTTCATAGCACTTTTAATCCCAAGAACTGACAAAGCAGTTGCAAATGCATTTGAAGTGTTTTAATGCACTAAAGTGGAAAAGGAAAGGCTTCCTCCAAACCTGAAATGAAAGTGGTGCTCTTGGGGGTGTTACCAACTCTGTGTTGACTTTCTGGCATTCAAGTTCTTTTGAGTCAACTTGGCTGAATCTCACTTAGCTTTGAGGCAGGAAGGGCTAAGCTGACCTCAACCCAATTTTAGCTTCTAGATCAAACAAGTATCAGCTGTCTTAACAGCTTTCAGATGACCCTCTAATGCTGTATAACTTCCAGAGTTGGTCTTTCTTTGGACACTGACTTTTCATCGGTTAGCAGGGAGACCAAAGTGGTTGGTCTGTGGCTTCCAGCTGTCTTCTTATGGCTGCCTTAGAGGTGGCTTATGACATCTCCAAGCTAACTTCTGGCAGCTTGATGTCGTTATTAGAACTTGATCCAATATCAGTATTTTGATTTTGAAAGATATCAGTTTTTCTCTGCCAATTTTGCCTCACTGACTTAACTCTGTTGCTTTTTTTCTTGGTGTCAGAGGAGTGCAAGCAGAGGAGTCCATCCTTCCTGCCAAGCTGCGTAAGCCCACGTCTCCTCACCAGCAACTGCACTAGATTTGCCAAGCCTGAATTTGTCATTGCCATCTGAGCCCTGGAAGAACTCAGCAGATCCTCAAGGTGCTCAGCATTACCATGTCTGGTGGTGGCAGGTGAAGTGAGGAACGAGACCTTCTAGCAAGTGTCTCTCTGGGGTGGAAGAAGTGCTCGTGGGCAGGTTTGTAATGGGAGGGTGAGCTTTGGCCACCCCAGGGTTGGGGAAAGTCTGGGGTGGGTGTTAACTGGGGCTCTTTTTGAAATGGGAGGCTGTCTCTTGAGAGCAGTCAGCTGGTGTAACCATGGAAGTGTTGTTGGAAGAGAGGAAGAGTGATTTCACTCAGTGCTTCTGTTTCAGAAACTGATTAGCAGCACAGAGGAGCCCAGCAGAGCTGCCTGCAGCCTTGGACAGCACACTCATGGTCTCAAGGAGTGGGCTTCAGCATGCAGCCATCACCTCCTATGCATACAAACTCCAGTGTCTCAAGTAAGGATGCTGCTTCACATGTGGGGTAGAGGGCCTTCATTGGACTGCAAGAGGTGTCTCTGAATGCACTGCTTACTGTGCCTGCAGAAGCCAGGTGAGGCAAATCTCCAGGGAGAGGGACAAGGCCAGACTGGACTTAGAGAAAGCAGAGAGACACTGCCTGCAGCTCAGCAGGGAGTTGGACAAGCAATACATCGCCCTCAAGCATAGCCAGAGCAAGCTCAAGTAGGAAGGGTTCTTTTGGTTGAGCAGGGAAAATGGTTTTCCTGTGAGTGCCCGCTGCCTCTCCTTCCTATGCCAGTCTCCCTTTCTGAATCTCTCACTTGTTTGGACATTGTGTGAGTGGCAGAGAAGTCCCTAAAGACCCCTTAACTTGTGTGCACTTCACTTATGCTTCCAGTATCTCTCCAAACAAGGTCTTCTCTTCTTCTTTTTGTGGGGTGAGCATGGATGCCTGGACCTCACAGTAATCTGAGAATAAATTTCAGCTGCCCCCAGACATGTTGCTTATCTGTTCCAGGGATGTTCGGGCTGAAGTGGAGGCAAAAGAGCTGCTTTTGCAGCAAGCCATCAACCATCAAGTGAAGCTGGAGGCTGATGCACAGTTCCTCCAGGGCAAAGAGGCCACCCTTCATGGGAGACTGAACCTCATGATGAAGGTAAGTGAAACTGTCCTGAATTAAATGTTTTCACTCTTTCAGAGGAATCAAAGCAGAAGTGGTGACGAGGCTGGATAACTTGTCTTGCTTTTGCTAGGAAGGGCAGGATTTTATGGAGAAGTTGTGAGTCACATCCATACTACGCAATTAAAATAAGGATCTTATTTGCTGGCCAGGACATTATTGAACCCTCTTGTAGTCTGTTGAGAATGATTTGGCCCTTAGTGACACCTGAACTGATGGCTGAGGCTAAAATTGTATGAAGGAGTATATAGTAGCAGAGACAAAGGTGTCCCTGTGCCTGAATATTATCTTGGAATAATTCAATTTGTTTGGGACCTTTAAAGGTTGTCTCATCCAACTCCCCTGCAATGAACGGGGACATCTGCAGCTGGATCAGATTGCTCAGAGCCCAGTTCTGCCTGACCTCCAAGGATGGGATATCTACCATATCTCTGGGCAACCTGTGCCAGTGTTTCATTATCCTCACTGTCAAAAAAAATAGCCTTTTTTCTTTTATCCAATCTAAATCTCCCCTCTTCTACTTTGAAGCCATTTCCCCTTGTCCTGTCACAGCAGAATCTACTAAAGGGTCCCCCCCCTTCTTTATTATAGCCCCCTTTTAGATACTGAAAGGCCTCTACCAAATCTCCGCAGTGGCTTCTGTTGATGTAGATATACCATCAGTGAAAGTGACTAGGTTGATCAGGGAGGTCTCCTTCTTCTCAACAACTAGCACAGACAGGTAGTTTTGTGAAGCAGAGGTACAGACAAGCCTACAGGGCTGTCTAGCTCTTATTCTATAAAGCCTATGCTTCTGTCTGTTGTTTGGAGAGATGAGCCAATCCCCAGCCCATGTGGCATGCCACTGTCCTGCCCAAAGTGGGATTTCCTGTGAGCAGTGCTGCGATCACAGTGCTGATGTGCTAGTAGTTCTGCAGCTGCCCACTGGAGGTCCAAAACTGATGAACTGAGGACCCACAACGCAAAGAGAATCTTCTCTGCTTCTACTGCAGGAGAACACACAGCTGCAAAACAAAGTCATGGAGATGGGTGAGAAACTGACCGCCTCTGAGACGCTGGTGTTGGAGCTTCAGAAAGAGCTCAACCTCGTTGTGAAGGACAAGGTAGCCTTTGTTTCTGTGTGGTGGTTAAGTCTTCTGAAGAATTCCTCAAAAGGTTAATCTTTTGTTTTTTTTTTGAAATTTGGTTTATTACAGCTCAGTTGTTGTGTTACTCCCCCCCCCCACACACTTTGAATTCTCCTGCATATTAATGACAACCTGGAAAAAAGAATTACTGTTTTAATTTAGGCCTTTCAGAGCTTGAAAGGAGGAAATTTGCAAGTATAGAAAACTATACAAATCTGAGATTTCCAAGTGAAAATTAGATGTTCAAAAAAATCTTCTTAACAGGTATTGAATAAAGGGTTTGTTCTTGTTATTATCAGTAGTTGACGTTTCCACTCCAGTGAGGAGCATGAAGTGGATCTGGGAAAGAAATGAGTCAGCGTTCTTGGTAGCTGGTTTGGGGAAGCCAGCCTGTCTGCAGTTAGGTATCTCTGTCTTAAGAAGAAAGACGTTCTTTCCCCTCTTTCTGCACTTGACCCATCCCACTGGCATCAATAGGAACCTTTCTTCTGAATCTAGGGCTTTAGGACTGTGACTCCAGTGATTTTGTAGAGCTTCTGTCTCTCCACTTGGAGAGATGACAATTTCCTTGATGAGAAGTGTTTCCCTGTGCTTGTGCAGCTGGACCAGGAGGAGCCCCGCAACCCAGAGCTCCTGAACCATGGCAAATACTTTGCAGAGATTGTGCTGGAATACGAGCGGCAATGCCAGGTACCAGTGGGCACCTCTTCAGCAATGCTGTCGTGATGCATTCAGCTGTCGTCTGCACATCTGTTGAGTGCTGCAGTCTGGGGCAGAGGAATGGGGCAGTGGTAACAAAGTGTGAAGGAGTGGTTTTCCTTCTTGCCTTGCTCAGCATCCTTTGGCAGGAGGCAGGACACAGCTATGCCCCTAGTAAAGGAACCTAATGCCTTGCTCCCACAGCTGTAGGAGCACAACTGTGTGTTGGTTCCCCTGCCAGGTTGAGGGGAACAGGGGTAGCTTGCAAATTTCACCCTTCCTGCTACCCTGTAGCCGTGGACTGTTTTGTGTGGGAATCATGTAGCTCCTTATATACAGGCAGACCACTCCAGGCTCTGCTGTAAGGTATTTTCTCTTGAATGGGAAGAGAAAGCTGTGCTCCTTTGGAACGCATACCGTCAGCCAAATTCTTCTTTTGTTTTTCCCTTTCTTTTTCTGTTCCCTACTTCACAACCCCTACAAAATTACTGGGCTGTGACAGAGAGTCAAGGTAAGCCTATCCAGGTACTTGGTGCGTGCACGGTCCTGGCATTGGTGTTGTGTGTGTTGCACCTCCTTCTCAGCTGCTGCCCAGAGCTTTGGCTCTCTGGGATGTGAGCACAGCCTCTGTCACCTTTCTATGATTTCTAAGCAATTTTTGTCTCTTGCATGTTTTGCATGGCTGGGTGTTCTCTGTGTTGGCTCCTGATTGTGCAGTGTCCTGTACTTATTGCATTGTCTGTGTTTCCAAGTGCTATGAGTGATTGTAGAGCACCACCAGGTAGAGATGGTGACTTACCAAATCTCTTCAGAGGCTAAAATCTGTGCATTTGCAGCAAAGCCATTGACAGATTCAGCAGATAGCTCCTATTGAAGCTGTAGCTAAAGGCAAACATGCTGAAACACTATCCAATATAGCAGTACTCCAGGTGGCACCAGAGGGCTGAAGATGCTTGGAGCTGTAATTCTTCCTAGGGCTGAGCTGTCCCAGGGTTGTTGATGCAAATGCAGCTGGATGGAGATGCCTTTGGCTTCATCCTGCCATGTGAGGCACCCAGCTGGGTACTGAATCCTGAATGCTGGCAGCCTATGTCCTCCTGTCTGCTCTTCTGTTTAGAATGGAGGTTAAACAAACTAGGTGTACTTTTTTCTAGACCTGCTTAGTAATATTCGTTAGTTTGGATTTGTGGAAGTTCCATAGCTTGTATTCTTATGCAGCCCATTCATTTTCTGGATAGGGTAGCATATAGGATGTAATTAGATGTCAGTTCAAAGTGGAGGGGAGACAGGATTCCTCACGCGCTCTTGCATCCGGTGTGGGATTCAGAATATAAAGTGAAACAAGGGGGATTCCTGATCCAGATGCATGGAAGTGGCTCATTGCTCAGCGTGGTGTTCATCTGTGAGACTCTTCGCTGTGGGGTGACACTGGATAAACTCCTGTGCTGCCTTTGGAGCTCTCTGCTCTAAGCAGGCAGTGGGACCTGTTTCATGCAGTGCTTCCCAAGAGCTCAGGTCCTTTTCACCTCGTTTTGTTCCCTCTGCAACCTGGGAACATTCTGTCCCAGTCCTGGGAAGCTTCACAGCTGCGTCATGGCCTGTCTCTGCCTCAGGTGCTGTGGGACCAGAATGACGTGCTGCAAAGAGAGCTGGAAGAGCTGCGTCTTCAGCTGCAGGAGAAGAGGGCTGAGAGAGGGCTGCTGGCTGGAGGTAAAATGCAGGGGTGTTTGGGGCATCTCTGTTTGTTTGGCAAGAGCAAGGTTTTGTGCTGACGGGAGTAGTGGGAGTGTAGAGTGGCTGCTCCTGGTTTTGGCACTGGGCAGCCATGCAAGGGAAGAAAGGAGCGACAGAGGTGGTTCCAACGTGTAAGCTTGTGACAGCAACATGAGGACTTGGCAGCTGGGAATGAGCTGGCAGATTTTCACTGTAGAGAATGGTGAAGAAACAATATAATTAAGTGGGGTTGGAGGTTCAAGCTGAGCATTAGGAAAAAACTTCTTAGGATTAGCTGCCATATAGATGAGAGAATCTGGCTTTGGTGATAGTCTTTCTCTGAGCAGGAGTTGGATTAGAGAGCCAGAGGACTAGACTCCAGCACTTCACAGAGTGTGGGGCAATCCTAAGTATCAGGCACAAGGACAGTGGACCAAAGACTGTTCTCGCAGTGCATCTTTTTCCCAGTGTGTTCCTCTCCCAACCATCTGGTTCCCATTTCTGTGTGTGCAGAGACGTCAATCACGACGCAGCAGCTCCAAGAACAGCTGCAGGACCTGAAGATGCAGCTGGAATCCAAGGTGAGTTGTGGGGGCTGATGTCCAGAATTCTCTGCACAGCTGCTTGGTGAATGGAGGTGGGAAATCTGTATTCCCATGCCCATTTTAGCAGTCAGGAAGATGCAGAGCCCTCATGGGTGGGCAAAAGCTTTGTGAATGACTCTGTCACCTTGCAAAAATTTTGCATGAGTTTTGCTTCTTACGTGGAACTAGAGATTATTTCTACTTTGCATTGTCCCTGTAAAATCAGCACAAGGACCAGAAGGAGAAGCAGCAATGTGCCTCCTGAGAGCATGGAAATTATCAGAGCTCTGTCTCCCTGTGCTTCCAGCGCACTTTTAACCTGCTTGCACTAAGATGACAGTGTGAGCCCAGCCCTCTAGACAGCAGCAGGATAGATTATCCTGAGTTGGAAGGGACCAACGGGGATCAGTTTCCACCTTCACTTCTTTTTCTGCTGAACTAGAGGTCATGCATTCTTGCTGGGTTTCCACTGCAGCACTGCAACTGTAAATCCTAAACTGCCACACAGATGACAGACAGTTCAAGGAGCACAAAGCTGCTTGCAGACCTCCTGCCTCCGTTGTGCTAATCCCACCCTGGGTTTTATGATTTTTTGCAGGGAGCTGTGGAAAGCAGCAGCTCCTCACCGCCACCTCTAGGGCAAGGGGCTACTCTGCAGGGTGGAGGAAGGATGTAGGAGTGTAGAGACGATGCTTCTCCTTTCTCTATGGAGTCCCAGTGCTGCAAACAAGGAGAAAGAGAGAGGTGTGCTGACAGCTGGGAAAACTGGGGTCCATTTATTTTTGCTTCTTAAAGGCTGCTGTGTGCAGCTGTTTATTGTCCTGAGTTCACTAGGGAGCAGAAATGTCTTGAGAGTGTCCCCTGCTGGGAGGAACCATTAGGGTGGTTCGAGTCAGAGTTACCAAAAGAGAGAGAGGCCCTCAGGAGCACAGCACTAATGTCCAACCCCTGTTTCTTTCCAACAGGTAAACTATTATGAGGAGGAAATGGAGCTAATGAGGAAAAACTTTGAAAGAGAAAAGGACAGCAAGGAGAACGTCAAGGCTGAGATGAGCAAGGTGGAAGACCAGGAAGAAGACCTGAGAGAAACAGTTTCAAAGTACCAGGTTGTACCTGATGTCATGAAAGAGCGAAAAGGTGTGCAGAGCCTGGAGCTGGAGGAGAGGTTTGAGATGGAGCCAGCCAGGGTTGAACTTCAGCACACTGAGGACATAGGGCATCCAAGGCAGCAGCTGAACCAGGAAGGAGAAGAGCTGAGAACGCAGTGCAGGAACAGAGGAAGCCTCAGGTATGGTGGTGTTCTTTTCTTGGGTCTAAGTAGGAGACAGAGGGTGAATACATCCCCTGCCTGCACCAGAATGGACCAGGGAGATTTCTTATGAGTCTGTAGAGCTTCTTCAATTGGGGAAAAAAAATCTAGGCATGAGGGTGAGGATACAGCAGTCTGAAGTGGGACATCCGAACTCCTCTTACATGACTGCTTTTATTTGAAGACTTCAGTTTTCCTTTAGTGTTGTGCAGGTGTGTCAGAGGAAGTGCCAGCAAAAACTGTACCTAACAACAAAGAGGGAAACAGGATGGTTTTTATCAGTGTTTTCATATGATATTTCTCTTTCTTGGTCCTTTAGCAAACTTGCTGCTACTTGCTAGATCATTACAGTCTGCTGTCTGAAAAGCAACAAAAGATGGCTTAAATTTTTCTGTTTGGCCAAAACAAACTCACTCATAGAAAAATAAGGTAATCTGTGAATAGGTGATCATCCTCCTTTCCTGTGCTTGTGGTGCCAATTCTGCAGCCTTCCTCGGGGTCAGATTGGCTTTGTGAAAGAGATTAAAGAGGAAGTATAGGAACATCATGGAGGAAACTGTTCATACCTGCCCCGTCCTGCTTCCCAGTGCGCCCTACCACTGTCCCCTGTTTCCTTTTGCCTTGCTGTCTCTTTGTGTGTCTCCACTGCCTCTTTTCAGCATCTGAGACCCCTTTCACAATACGCAGGTGGACGATTTCTCTGTTGCTCTCTGTTATAGGGCACAGTGGTGTGGGAGCTTGCTGTAATACTTAGTAATTTTGCAACCTAAGGAATACTGTATTGTCTCTCCAGCAAAAATGTGTTCCAGGGCTGGTTGAGCTTTTCAAGCTGTGCCTGCCATGTGTGCTATCAAATCCAGGTCAGAGAGATGTTAGTTATCTTTTGGAAAAATGCAGAGGTTGAATATAATCAAAAGCAGTAATGGAGTGAATGTTGTGTGAAGGCAGCTGTAGTGTAGCAGCAGCACTGCTGTGAGAAGAAGTAATTTCTCAGTGAATAAAGGCTGCTGGGGAGCAGCATGCCCAGGAAAAGCAGGGATGGGTCCAGAAGGAAAAGGACACAGTGTCCCTGTGGAGGATAAGATGTGAAAGAAGGTAAATGGGAAGCAAGTCAAGATGTATCAAATGGTGGCTGTTAAGAGGGTGGAAAGAAAACAAGGTAAAACAACAAAAAACACCAGGATGAAATGGATGTAATGTACAAATCACAAAGCTGAGGACTCTGGTACTGAAGGGATGATGTAGCTGGAGAGTTGCCCTCCAGTTGGAAAGGAGCATGTACCCAAGACTTGGGGACATAGAACAGCAACTCCTGTTGCAACCTCAGCATCAAAGGAATAGAGAAGAAATGAAAGGTGTTTTGATAGGCTGTTACAGATGTCCATTGCAGCAAATGGACTGTTCAGTCCAGAAACTGGAGCCAAAGCTGAATGCACTTGTCATGGAGAAACAAAATCTTGATAGACAAGAGGCTGTGCTTGGGAAGGAAACAGAGAAAGCAAAGATAGATTTGCCTTCACCCGGCAGAGGCAGCAGGATGTCAGGACATAATGTGATCTAGAGGGAGGTAGAGCAACATAGCAGCACAGGGGGAAACATGACAGTCAGGCTGTCAAAACGGAGCTGCAGAGGGAGAGGAACAGACTGAAGCTGTAGCTGATGCAGCTCAAGGACTTTGTGCAGTAGTTGGAAAATGATCCCCAAACCTCAAGAGAGCGGTGGGTTTGAGCACTCAGGCAGTTTGCAGAACCGAGTGCTGCGACAGCAAAAGAAGACCAGATGTCTTGTGTAACACAGGACTGCTTAACACGTTGGTCCAAGACACTGACAGCAGCTCTGTTCTGGCTTGCTGTTCCCTACATCTTTTCCTAACTGGGGGAGTGTGGTCAGAGAGCTGGGATGTGCTCACGTGGCCCTGGCTGACTGTGCGCTTGTCTCCTCTGCCTTGTTCAGCTGTATGTGGGTGTTGGAGATTCCACAGGAAGAACAGCATGTGAATCCTGATGTAAAACTGACTCAAAGAGCGGCTGCTGTGTGGAGTATCCTGCTAAGCAGGGGGAAGCAAACACTAGGCAGTGCACTAGTACTCCTTGCTTGCTTGGGGAGTAGAGCAAGAACTTCCCTGCTCAGCTCCTCTGCCTCTCACGTTGAGTGACAAAAACTGCAGTGCTGTTTTCCATGTTGAGCTAGATAGGCTCTTCTCCCATGCTCTTCTCTGCGGAAGAATATGGAGCCTGGAGGGATCTAGAGGTTAGCACTAACTGTTGGATAGTACTGTGCTCTTTAACACAGGGCTTACCTGCCTTTCAGCAGATGCGAGTATTTGTGGCCTCGTGGGAGGCTAAGAGTAGAGAAGAGGAAAGACAATGAGAGGTTTCCTTGCATTTGGTCTCATAGCTGGCACCCCTAGCACTGTATAGTCACAAGCTGGCTTTTCCTGACATGGCCTTATTGCACTCAGGTGTTGGGTTTGCCAGCTGGTTATCCTGAAATGAAGTCTATGTATGTCGTGATAGGCCAAGCCAACAGGTTTGCAAACAGATTTTAGTCAGCTGGAAGCCAAATAAATTCAGCATCTTATGCTATTTCTCCTTATTCTCTTTTGTTTTCCTGCCATCAATACTTAGTACTCTTTCTCTACCTTTGACAGTTCTTTGATTCTCCCCCCACATTCTGCTTGAGCTACTGGATGGATATTTCTCAGAATTCTTTTGTTCTTCTTGTCCTCGCAACATGGATGGGAACAGAGAAGGAAGACTGTGTAAGATGCAAACAGCAAACTGGGCTTTTGTATGGTTTTTTTTTGTATGGTGTGATTTTTCACATTTCTCTTTCTCTCCCTGCAGGGGAGAGCAGGGCTGGCTTCTGGAGGAGAACAGCTTGCTGAAAAGTCAAACTGGGAGACTCCAGGAAGAACTGAGGGAGGCTAAGGAGGAGTGCAGACATGACGAGTAAGAGAGGAGCCAGCTGTGGGAAGGCTGGCAAAAGGGGGAAAGATAATATTCGTGAAAGAGACTGCTGCTCAGGTGCATTTACCTGATTTCAGCTGTCCCAAGCTGCCTTTTGTTTGCTCATTTCCAAAAGCCAGCACTCTCACTGCCTTCACTTCATGCAAAAGCAGCCAATGCTGGATCAGGCTTAGCCAAAGGCTGGGTAGGCCAGAGGACTGGGTTCAGAGCTGCATTTGGAGAAGACACTGGGGGCAGAGATGTGCCGAGTGTGGAAAGCGTGAGATTCTTGTTTACACAAACATTTTTATCGGTGGTCAACTGCTGCCTTTGTAAGCTTGGGATAGATACTGGTGTCTCCTGCTGTATAATCAATGAATATTAAGATGTCATCATTACAAAATAAACAAGAGAGTTAGACAAAGCAGATTATGATAACAAAAAGAGAGTAGATAGAAAGCCTACCCGTATCCTGTGCTCACTTTCAAAACTCCAGCAGAGTGGATCTCCAGAAGAGATCCTTCCCCACTGGTCACCCTGTAATCCACTGTCATTCTCCACGTGCCATCCGACTTTCGCACTGGCCATAGGGGGGAGTTGTATGGGCTGTGTGCAGGTCTCGATATTTCATCTTGCCCACCCAGGAGCCTGTACTGTCTCACGTTAGTAACACGGCGCGGTTTCAGCAGGCAAACAGGCTCATGTTTTGCATGGCCTCTTAATACTGCCTGCACTGCCCAGACACTGATACATCTCTGTCGAAGTCTGAACTCTCCCACAGTTGTCTGGAGAGCCAGACCCCATAGAATATCGATGCCCAGGATGTATTCTTGGACTGGGGCAATAGACACCTTGTACTCCCGGGGTGGGAGACACCCAATACCCAATTTTAATAGTGGCCATGCCATTGTGGATGGAGGCAGCCAATTGTCTTTCTTTAGTGATCAGTACATCCTTATTAAGTCCCTGAAAGTAGTCTGCCATGTGGTATGGGGAGATATTGCCATAACGCGTAAGGGAGCCCATTTTTCAATGATAACCACTAGTTTATAACAGGGGGATCCCACACATCCTGGGATCTGCCCTGGAATCATTTTCTCTAGAGGGGTATTGTTCTCCCCCTTGACCCATTTATAGAAATTCCAAAGAAAAGACATGACGTAAATTTGGCCTGCCTGGCTCGCCAAGTGTATAATCAATGAATATTAGGATGTTATAGTTACAAAATAAACAAGAGAGTTAGGCAAAACAGATTACAACAACAAAAAGAAGATAGAAAGCTTACCCCTATCCTGGGCTCACTTACAGAACTCCAGCAGAGCAGATCTCCAGAAGAGATCCTTCCCCACTGGCAGCCAGCTCTTAAATAGGTCTAGGAGGGCTGGAGCCTGGCTCCACTCCTTCCAGCAGCACAGGAGAATTGCCTTCACCTGTGCTCCTCTGGCTGACTCATGGCTCACCTCAGGTGATCAGTCTGAGGTTCAGGCCGTGACTCAGCAGTTCCCACACACTTGCTCAGCCATAAACCAGGCTTCCCCATTGTACTTCATACTCTGAATTTTTGGTCTCTAACACTGTTATAGGACTTCAGGTGTCCCCACCTCTCTGCCCTGAGCTGAAACACCCACTCTGGAATCAATTCAGGACCATGTCTGTTCTGGCCTGGTTTGTCTCCTTTTCCAGACCAAGATCAGCTGCGTAGGTCCCCAAAACAGAGGTTGTGTTTGCTGCTTTCTGTTATGAAGCTAATCATATCCCTCTACCTGACAGGAAACACACGAGCAAGTTGAGCAGAGAGAAGGTAGAAAAACTGGCTGTAGCAGTAAAGTTGAAGAAGTCGGTAAGAAGCCATTAACAATAACTGACAGATTCTTGGATGTGGGGTTTAAGAGGACAAAAACTGCATGGTCTTATAGGGGAGGATGCAAACGTCTTATCTCAAGCAACTGAATCTAATCTTACTTGGAAGAAACTGCTTTGTTTTATAACTATCAAGGAGGGAAAAGATATGTGACAAAAGCCTGTGAAAGTCTTTGCAGCAGAGAAAGGTGGTACTTAATACATCTCTAAAAAGATTAGCTTTAAGCACTTGCTCTCATTCCCTGAGTTTCTACTCAATCCCAGTCTCAAACACTCATGCTCCCAAGCCTGTGAACAAGTATGTGCAAAAGGTTTGGTCAGAATACTCGTGTGATTGAGGATAGCAGGTTTTCAAGTACTCACCCTTTTTCTGGGACTCTTCCTGGCTAATAACAGCAACTTCTCTGGAAATATCTTCACTGCTTGGGTCTGTAATGATGTAACGCTATAACGTGCTGGAGAGTTATAATAATAACTGCAGTAATAGCAGGGTGGCACAATCCTAGGCTACAGTAAAAGAGACCAAGTCCAAATGCAGCAGCCATGGATGCAGAAATAAAGGAAGAAAAATTTTCTAACCTTCAGAAGGCTTCCAGCAGGCAGAGATCTCCAGCACGATCACTTTACTTTCACTGCTGGCCCTTAAATGAGGTCTGGGAAGGGGTGGATCCTGGCTCCACCTCTTTCAGTTACTCAGGAGTATTGCATGCACCTGAGCTCCCCTGGAGGTGGTCCTGCCTTCCCACCAGGTGCTCAGTCACTGCTTCAAGCCCTGACTTAGCATTTCCACTACAGAGGCCATCATCTGCAACTGGGTGGTCCTTTCCTGACCCTTGCTGAGTCAGCTTCCATAAGCCTTAGGCCCAGGTACACCGCACACTTTTCCTCCATTTGAAGAAAGCTATGTTTGTTACTATTTTCCTGAGAAGCTGACAGGAATGAGGGGGCCGTGAGATGTATGCTGGTAGATGCAGGCTTCCTGCTGACACGTTAACCACGGAAACTGCACCTTGCTCAGCACTGCTGCTGAGAGTGTGATGTCCCAGGAACGTCAAGGGGATGGTGCCCTTTGGTGTTGATGGAGGTTGCATTTGTAGCCCTTCTTCTATTATGATAGTCCACTCATACTGCACTGATGCCAATCTTAATATTTCTGTTACATGGCTCTACTGTCAGACCTTAGGACCCCCTCTCTTCCTTCCCGACCAACCTCTTCCAGGGTTGTAATCTGTGTAGGCTTTCCTAAGCATGAGGCTGTTCATGGCTTCGGGGCTTGGTTCAGGTTGGAAAATGAGTCCTGGGTGCACGCAAGGTCCTGTGGTGACAGCAGTGTTCCTATGTAGGGACCCAGCAGTTTCTGCTAGTATTCCCACTCCAAACCTTTGTGTGTTTTATTTTATTTACAGAGTGGAAAGAGCAATGTGGATATCTCCCAGACAAACATCAAGGTGAGTAAGCTGAGCCATAAGATCCTGGAGCATGAAGTCGGCTGCAGCGCCAGCACTGGGTCCACCCAGCTGCAGAACCAGAGGTTCATGGAAGTCAAGCAACTACAAGGAGTGGAGATGGCCATGAGGCCGGAGCACTGCCAGCAGCATGCAGCGTGTCGGTCAGAGATGGAGCTGCTCTGGCAGCAGCTCGAGGCATCGCAAGAGGAAGTAGGTGCTGTTTGGTCATTGACAAGGTAGCATGCAGCTGGGTGGTCCCTGTGATGTTGGTGCTTCCCCACTGAGGGCTGTATTGAACACCTTCCCCAGACAGAAAAGACTGTCCTCTTTGAGAGCTACAAAGGAGTCACCCTTCTGCAGCTCCCAGCACTGTCAATACGTGGCTTTGCAGGCTGCCTGTTAAGCCTACCTGTCAAGATTCTACTGGTCTGCTGTGGCCATGATGACATGAGACCTAGGGTGGAGGCTGAGTGTGCTGCTTAGCCCCTCCTTTTATGTGCAGCACGCCTTCAACCTGTCCTATTGCTGGCACAATGCTGTAACTGGCAACCTTTCTCTGTTGCAGCTCTTTGAAGCCAAAGCAAGGTTGAGTCTGGCTCAGACTCAGCATGCACTGCAGCTGCAGCAGGCCAAGGCACAGCTGAACAATGTGGTGCCAAGGAAACAGTTTGAACAGCTGCAAGCCAGCTTGAAAGAGGAACAGTGCAAGGTTCAGCAGCTCCAGGCAAACCTCCAGCAGCAGGCTGAGCAGGCATGCAGACAGCTGGTCAGGACCCAGGTAAGCAGGGAGCTGCAAAAGTTCCCTCAAGGGTACCAGAGAGGGAGCACTACCAGCCTGGAATGGAGCTGTGGTCAAGGGCACCAGAGGAGTGGATGGAAAATTCTGTACCTGAAAAATGCAATCGATTTTCAAGTTCCAGCTGCAGTTTTCATTCCTTATGAATCTTGTCACCAAACTGTGCTTGATCAGGAGTACACTCCACTTCTATTCATCTACCTCAGACCAGATACCTTGTGCCTAGAGGGCAGGAACCATTTAGGGAGACACTGTGTGTTGGCTTAGGCTGTGGAAAGAAAGCTTGAGCCCTCTACATGGACATGCACAGAGCAGGCTGGCTTTAAATGTAGGGCACCAAGTCAACAAGGTGTTGGGTTTTAAAAAACAGACTGGTGCTGAACTAGGGAAGGTGGTGCTGGTCTTAAGCACTCCCCACCAAGCTCTTTGCATCTTGCAACACCTCCACTGCTCCCCCATTCACGCTTCAGGGAGAGTGCTGGGGACCTGGTGGGATGCATACATTACCTGGGACAGCCCAACATAACATCAGGATTTTGTTTCGTGCTGAAGAAAGAACATGAGCGCCTGTTGCAGGCAGCTGTGGAGCAGGCAGAGGGGTTGCAGTGTGACCTAAGGAGTGCTGAAGCTGCGCTTGCAGATGGGGCAGCTCGCCTCAAGGATGCACAGGTGAGTGCAGGAGGTGCTGGTGCCACTTGTCTCTGCTGGGCTGGGACTTCCGTGGAGGGACACTGAACCTTAAGCCTCCTGTCTGTACCGCAGGCTCAACTGTGCAGGAACAAACTGCTGATTAAAGATCTCCGTGAAGAAAACAGAGGGTTTGCAATGGCCGTGCAGGCAGCTGAACTGAAGCAGATGAACGCTGAGAGGAAGAACCACATGCTGGAGGAGCAGGCCTTGGCCTTGAAGAAGCTTGTTGAAAAAATCACACCAGCATCTCTGAGTGCATGATGGAGCACTGCTATGGCAGCCTTGCTCCTGAGCCTGAGGTTTGTCAGGTATGAAAGAAGAAATCTGGCTGAGTAATCAGCTTTGTTCTCTCTGATCTTGCTCGGATTTCCCTGGGTAGAAAGTAGAAAGTAGAGATGCTAGTCCTTCAAGGAAACTAGTCCAGTAGGTAGCTTAATTTTCTTACTATAAACGCAATCTTTGGTACCAGTCCCAATGGCAGCATGTGCTGTTGTCTCAGGGCAGCCATTCCCCAGGAGCTGCCTGCATCTGGAAAGCCAGGGCAGAGGGGGCTGCAGGTTCCTGCATCTGGTGTACTCTGAGTAGAAAGCTGTATTCTGTATTGTGGTATCAGTACTTCCTGCCATCTCCAGCCTCCTCTGAATTTCAGGTGTCTCCTGCAACTATTGCTGAACTTTTTTCTTTTTTTTTTTCCTCCTTCCCTACAGTTCCTCTAGGAGACTCTGAACCTGAAGTTTCCCAAAACCTGAGCCTAGGATCCAAACTAACTTGCTGGTGGGTTGTTGCCTCTGCCATAAGCAGATCAGAGCATCTGAGGGAAGAGTCCTCTTCAGATTTCAATCTCCAAAGCTTGGGGCAGGGCTGGTCCCCCCTGTGCACCACCATACTTCAGCAAGCTGTCCTTATTGCACGTTCTCAGGGAGAGCAGGAAGCATGGTAAGTAAAGCACAACATTTCACCTTCCTTGTTAAGTCTTCACTGGCAAGCTTTCTAAGATGCCACAAAGCCAAGCATTCACATGAGCAGATAACAGGTATATTGATCAGCCCAGGGTGTTACCCTCTGTACATCATTACACCCTGCCTTGCTCTCTGCCAGGCTGTAAAAGGACTTGTGATTCTCAAGGGACTGTGGTGACTGCTGCAGCAGAAAGACTAAACAAGCCTGACTGCAACAGAGTGGTGACACAGAGCCTGACAGTCAATATAGGCAAAAGGGCTTCAACATAGATCAACCTGTTGTTGGAATGAAAATAACGGTGGATAAATTGGCTCTTAACTCCTAGCCTAGCAGTGCTGGGATGTTCTCCAGCCCTGCTTCTATAAGGGACAGGACAGGGACAACACCAGGAGAGGGCTGACTGAAAAGGCCTCAGGTCTATGGGTGATTTTTCTGTTGCGGAAGATGGCAGAGTCTTCTCTTGTCCTGGGGCAGCCCTAAAGAGTAGGGCTATTGGAGAAGCTGGTAAAGATGAAAGCCCACACAGGGTAGCAAAACAAGGCAGGGAACACCTCTGAGCTACCCCTAGCTTAGGCTGGGAGCAGCAGTGAAAAAACTGCTTGGGCACTTCTCTGCTTGCATTCTTCCTTAAGCTACTGCTTTTTTTGCTTGTCAGATGGGCATCAGGCCAATAAAGCCTGCGGTCTTACCTAGAGCTCATGCTTTTGGAAGTACTATCTCTCAGCCACTATTGAAGGTGAGCAGCTCCACATCTAGCCCCAGCAAGAAACTCTTGGAGCTGACCTGATGGTTGAAGTTCACTGAGACACCTAATGACCTCCTAAGCATCACTCTGCACAGTCAAGCTGGGTTGAACAAAAGAGCCAGGTCAGAGAGCTGTAAAGAACATAACATAGACTCTCGAAGAGCTATTATCATTGGAAGATGAAGCAGTTTTTTATTTGGCAGCTGTGGAACTCTCCCAGCTGGTCAGTCTCTTATTTTCCAAGGCACAAAGAACTGCTCCAAGCAAAACTGCATTCACAAACACTGCTTGTAGCTGTGGTGCTTACAAGACACCCTCCACCCACTGCAGGACTCTCAGGCTTACTGTGTTACTGCTACGCACCCTTTGGTCACAAAGTGCTGGCCAATATGGTTTGCTTACAAGCTTGGAGATGATCTTTGTGTCAAGCTGTTATGAGAAGTTGTAGGGTGCTCTAAAATACTGAGGTGGCTGAAGTCCTGCACAGACCACCAAGCAAAGGCTCCTGTCCTGCACGCTTATGACAGAATGTGCTCCAGGACTCCTTGTCTGATTAACTGCTCACATTTCCAGCGGGGCAAGAAGTGCTGCACAGAAACACAGACAGATTTTCCCTGAAATACAGGCAGACTGGATTTGTTATTACATAGCCAATTCTGCTACATCACAGATCAGGCAGGGGTGAAGTGCAGTCCTGGTGCATGCAGACAGCTTGCAGCACACACAAGGGAGCCACACATGGGGGAACTGTGACATGCTGTGAAGCTGGGATGGGCAGGGCTACGTCACAAGAGTGGAAGAGAAGGAAAAGAACAGGAGAGGATTTAAACCTTGTTTTCATGTCACAGGTACCTGGCTGTTCTTCTTCAACAGGACAGTGGTGCCATCATCGATCTCAAATTCTCCATAGTCTCTCAAACACCGCACCTGTGAAGCAGAAAGGTAGCTGTGTCTGCAGCATTACACCTCCCACAGAAAATGTCAGACATCACTGCAAGAGACGCAAGAGTTATGGAGCATATGTCTGAAGTGCGGACATATTCCTACCCACCTCGCACAGCCCTGACTTGAAAATACAAAACCAGGTGGACCCCATAGTCTGAGGGCCTACCTGATGTTCTCTTCATGCCTCTGCCTGCAACATGAAGCACAGTGGGCAGAGCAGGCACCCCAGAGACTAAGGAAAGAGTAGCACTGCACAACAGCAGCATTTCTAGAGCCTCCTCACACATGTAGCAGAAAATGTCAGTCTGTTAGCAGTGAAACAGTTATAAAGAGCAGGCTGGTTGCCTGTATGTTTTCTTTTTAAGAGAACACAGCACTTCAGCTACTGACTCCGAAATCATTTTCCACTTGCTTTTGCTTTGTTGTATCAATGGCATAAAATGATTTATAGTCTGATCTGTGAAAATCTATTAAACAATGACAAGAAAGCACCAACACCTAGTTGACAATGCTTAAGTGAGAACAAGGTTTCTAATTGATCTGAAGAGGTCTTTAGAAGAATAATTAAATTGCTACGAACTACACCCTGCAAGAACTTTTCACTGCCATTCAGACCACTCACCACTACTACACACATTTCCTGCAGACTAGTCATGCATTTGTCAGCATACTTTGTTCACAGGCAGCAGCCAGCACTCGTGCACTTACTTCAATGTACAGGCTTTTAGGAGGCTTTATGTCCTGTGTAAGGTCCAGTCCCTCCTCTCCTCCCACTGACCTCATGTAGGTAGCCAGGGATTTCTTGTACCGATTGAACCACTCCACCTGCAGATGCCAACAGCAGTCCCTCAGGCAGAGCCACACAGCTCATGCTGAAGGACATGTTCCTGATGGATGACACCTGGTTTGTTTGTGCTGTCACAGCTCTCCTTTGAGTACGAGTTCTTCTAAAGGGGGAAAAAAATAAAATCTGTTCTGGGCACAGGGCAGTCTGGATTTGGGCTAGCAAACATGCTGACCAGCAGCTCTGTGCTTCAGTCTAGCATTTGACTGACAGCATTTGAAAGCAGCATGTGGAGACTAGGATGGTCAGACCAGATGACCTTACTGGTCTTCCCAACCTTTACGCTTCTATGAACAAAGTTCTGTGGGCTGAGAGTCTGATCTGATGAAGGCGATGATCCTTGAAGTGGTCATGCATTATTGGTACTTATCATGCATTTGGGATTGCATCCTTCAGGCATAAAGAAACAAACTGATATTTACAGTAAGGCACATCAGGTGTCTCAAGTTTATAGTAAAGGAAAAAGACGTAATGCTGTTCTGACTGTACTAAATCATTTGGGAGGAGTGAGGGAATACTGAGAGGGAAATAGGGTAACAGTTGAAAAGCAGGCTGACTCACTTCCTCGGCTGCCATGTGGAACTGGATGGCATTGGGCAGAATGCTTCCATACTCCCACCGGAGCGCCCGGATCCGTAGCAGCCGGTCGTACCTGGGGGGGACACGAGTGGCAAACACGGCATCTTTGCTGATGCGGCGCCTGTTTGCCCTCGCAGCACTGGGCAAGAGCTCTGCTTAGGGCTCCCTCCTTCCTTTGAAGGATGCCGTTTTTGACCCATTCATTAGTTCGAACTTCTCGAGCAGAGGAGAAAGCCGGGACGCTGCAGGCCGGGGCCCCAGCACGCAGCACTCACAGGTAAGCCACGATGCAGCGTTGGTTGCGGAGGAGGCAGCAGTGCCGAAACCGGATGAGGAAAATCAGATCCGTTCGGCCCGACTTCGCTTCAGACCTGGCGGATGAGGAGCCCGGTTACAGGGCGGCGTTACACAGCTCCGCGGCCCCGCCCTCCCCATTCAGCTCCCACCGCGGCACTCACACATCCGCCTGGTTCCGCTCGTACAGCGTCCGCATCTCCTCCAGCACCTGCCGCAGCTCTTCCGCCTGCAGCACCGCAGAAGCCCGGTGAGGACGGGCCGCCCTCGGCTCACCCCTCGCCCCGCTCCCACCGCACTCACCCGGAAGGGCGGCAGCCGCCCGCCCGCAGCGCTCTGCAGCTCCCGCACAAGCCCGACCGCCCGCTCCCCCGCCATGCTGCCGTGCCGCGCGCGCGGGAAACTTGGCCGCCCCGCAGCCAATGGGAGCCGAGGGGCGGGGCCAGGAGGGAGGCCGCGGCTCCCGGGAACGGGGCTGCGGGGCGGGAAGGGGCGGGTGTTCGACGGTGGGGCTGGGATTGCGCGGGAAGGTGCGGTGAAAAGGGGCAATTAAATAAATAAATGTGTGTGTGTGTATATGTTATATATATATATAAATATATATAAAACAGTCACTTTGAATTGACTTTTGACATGCGTTTTTGAATTGAGTTTTTAAATTGCACTTTGAAATGCACTTTATCATTGGAACAAATGCAGTCAGCGTTTAAAATTGGACCAAATGCGATGAGCATGTAATGTTTAGAATATAAAGGTGAACCTGTTTTCACTGCTCTTCTGTACGGCCTTCCCGAGGCTGGCCTCTCCCCCAGCCCACTCTGCTCCTGCTGCTTTTGGTCCCCATCCCATCCCCAGGTGCTGCCCAAACCCAAGTCAATGGAGGTGAGGAAGTGGGGGGCTCCTGCAGGTGGGCAGGACATCTGGCAGCCCGAGGCCAGGCACCAAGCCCTGTCCTGCTGTGAGCATTCACTGCCAGAACTTCGTCTCTCTGATTTCATGGGTCTCTACGTTGGCACCGTTGGCACACACAGGCAGTGCTGGTGCTTCAGGAGCCCGTCCTGCTGAGCTGGGAAGGATCGCAGTGATCAGCATCCTTCCCCACTTCCACATCCCCAGTTCCATCGGTCCCCAGTTTGACCCATCCTCAGTTCCATCCATCCCCAGTTCCAGCTGCAGGGAGCCACTGGGTACAGCAGCCATGAGCAGGGGTGGTCGTTTGGGGGCAGGTCTTTGCCAGATTAGAAAACATAGAGATAGACAAAATGAATGAAGAATTTACAAACATCTATATTTTGTGTTAGGAAATGTGATAAAATTAGGAAAACGGCTGAAGACACTGATTTGTACAACTCTGGGCTACTTCAGGCAATGAGAGGTTTACATAGCACGGGTTTAACAAGATAAAGCTCTCCCACAAAGCACACAGGTGACGGACAGCTTGTCGGAACCGGACACAACACAGCACCAATACACGTGTGATGTGATGGACAGTGCCAGGCCATTCCCCAGGTGGGTAACATACAACCTCTGGATAAGGCAATTCTTAATTCAAGTCACAACATACCCAGGCAGCATGCAGGGAAAAGTCATTTATTTTATACATTGGGATGACACACCTCGCAACGTTTCCATGTTATGTAGCATATAAACCATTCAAATAACATATATATATATGCTTTATATGTATATATATATATATATATATATATATCTCAAGTCAACAGTTGTCTTTATCGGAATAAAGATTATCTGTTTGTTGGCTTCTTTTTTTTTTTTTTTTTTTTTTTTTTTGGTAAAAATAAAACTATTTGAATTCCCTAATTAACAAAATGCACAGTGATCAGAAACCCAGTTCTTCTCCCAGCTGCTGCCCATCCCCATGATGCCACGGTTGCAGATGCTGCCGGGGGCTCCATCCCACACACCCCACATCCCTGCTTCACCCCCTGCACCTCACACTGCTGCCTCCTCTCCACTGCAAGTGCATGAGGAGCTGATCCCGACCCATTCCTTTGTCACCAATCTCTGGCTTTTTACCATCAAGAAGTTTTATGACTCTGCTCAGAAGCAAAAAACAAACCACCCGACCCAGTGACCCATCCAACCCAACCCCTCTGCCATACGTATCTCTGGTAAGGTGGGGTCTGATGGGTACAGATAAGGACGAGTTCCTGGTGCAACAAGTGTAAGGATCGCAGACGACGATGGGAGGTGATTTTCTAGCATTAAAAAGCTCTTTCGAGCAGAAACTCTGAGGAAGGATAATAAGACTCTTGTTTTGTTTTTGTTTTTGTTTTCCCAACAAAATAAAGAAATCTCTAATTTCAGAGCAGACGGATCTGGGCAGCTTCACCCCTGGTTAACCTCACACCCACCAGGCCCGGACCTGACTTGAGGCATTGCAGGTGGAGCTGCAGGGCCATATGAGCATGAACCCTCGGGGGTGGTTTGGGGGGCCCAGCTCATCCCACAGGTGCTCGAACTGTGGAGGGGGCACTTGCCCACATCTCCTCCCCTCTGCTGTGTCCCATCCATCACCCGAATGGTAAGAAGTCATCCTACTTCTCCCTGTGCCTCCCTGTGTCCCTCTGCTCCTCTACATACGGCTCTGGTTAAAAAGGAAAAAAACAAAAACCAAAACATGGGTCTTTTTTGTTGCCCTTATATATATACCAAAATAAAAGCAAGTCTTCCCAAGAGAGCAGGGAGAAAGGTGCTTTCACAATGACATTCAGAGCAAAGAGAGAGAAATGACGCTTACAGACCATTAAGAAAGCTATCTTTGGCAGAATATTTCAAATAAATTATTATTACAAATAATTTCTGCAGTCGTATGTTTATTTTGAACATGTCGCTTTCAGCTATAGGGGTACTTGTTCACTACTCTCTATGAACTGGGAAACACCACAGATATAAAAATAGATGAGCTCAGCACAATTTCTCGAGGCTGCCACGACTGTCTCTGATGGTTTCAAATGACACAGAAAGCACAGGGTGGCTCTATGGCCATGTGTGGGACGGTCAGCCTTCGGTGGGGACGGGATGTGCGGCGTCACCATGGCTTCGGATGTGGCCTCGCATCTCTGGGTGCACTGCCCCATTTTTGGGCCAGGTCCCGTCCCCATGTCCACAGTCACCCCAAGGGATGCCAGGTTGTCCGGTGGCTGGCCTCCCCTCACCCCGCAAACATTTAGGCTTAAATACTTTGCTTTGTTTATACAGCATGTACAGAATATACAGCACTGGGTGATTGTTCCCCAGTAGACTACGAGCGTCTCCCAAGATGACCTCTTTTATCAACAAATATATATAAATCAACAGTTCGAAAAGAGTCGTACCAACAAATAGTATGGCTTTTCAAATAGTGTAGCTGCATCGTGTGAGCCGACAAGGAACCGCACGAGAGAAGAGATGGAGAGGCTTGAGCTGGGGGCTGCCCGGCATGGTGCGCCCACTGGGGCTCGGAGGGCTGAGCAGTGCTGCTGGGCTCTCCCTCCTGCCCCAGTGAGGTTCTGCCTCGCTGATGGAAGCCTCCGATGAGGCTGCAAGAGCTCTGCTCCTGAAGTGGCTTTACCATCATCTGGCTGTTTGTCCCAGCGTCAGGCTGGAGCTCAGAGGAGGGCTCCCCGCTATCTTCTCTCAGTCTGCAAAAAGTCCCATCTGGCCATACTGCTGAGCTGCGGCCTCCTTGGAAGCCTGAAGGTCCAGGTTACCAGCAGAGCCCAGCCTCCTGCCATGAGGCACCGTGGGCTTAGTGCTCTGTGCAGGGCAGGAGCTGGAGGAGCCTTGTGACGAGGGTGGCCATTGGGGAACAAATACACATTGACTTGGGAAGGAGAGGGAAGCCACATGGAACAGATAGGTGAG